ATACTGGTATTATTAATATTGAAGATAATATTTTTTCAGAAATTTCTACTTATTTAAACATGTAAGAAATGATTCTCAAATTAACATTAAATCATTATCTTGGTAGGCCTTTACAACAAAGTGAACAACAAATATTTGAAATGTTAATGTTAAGAATGACAGTCTCTAATGGCTAATCATTCCAATGGGTAGAAAATGAAGAAACAAATGCTTTAAATTTGTTTACTCATTAAAAATTTTAAATTTTTTCTTTACAAATTTTATGACTAAAAATAAAAAATTTCATTAGCTGAATTCCAGTGTAACCTTGTATTCCAGTGAAAAAGACTGGAACACCGGAACAATGGAACACATAATTCCAGATTCCGAATTCCATTGCATAACAACACTGATTAAGACTGCTTTCAACGAAATTGACAGCACACTGAAAAGTGATATAAAAAGCTCTACTTCTAATAACACATTGGTATGTTGTTTATCTGTGTTTTTTTTATGTGCCTCTCTCTTGTTTCCGCATTACAAATGATTAAAAACTCCATGTTCTTTATATCGAATTTCAAGAATGAAAAGGAACGGTCAGCTGAGGAAGTCCTTTCCATTACTTCGTCTTATAATCTCCAAGATAGTGTTCCTCTTCACGAGAATGTCAATTTATATAATCACGATAATTCATCAATCGAAGTTAAACACTTTATTAAAAAGATGAAAGATGTCAATGATCGTCTTTTCAATTATAATGTTGTGACAAGGTTGGCAAATTGACTGGTCCATTGAGAACAAATGGATTTTGGACTGGTACATTAATGTAACACTTTAACCATATTTAGTATTTTATTAATGGCAATGGACCCAATAGGCATTAATGGACCGCTTATTTGCCAACCCCGCGTTGTGAATCTCTAAAGAAAATCTTACAGACCCTGTAAATAGTATTTTTTCAGACAAAGATAGAAATCAAATGTGAAAATTTTGGGGATCACATATTTTAGCCATTCTCTTTAGACTATAAATAGTGTTAATTTTGATATTCTTTTAGTTAGAACTATCAGCTGAAAAGAAGTCAAAAACAGTACGTAGATCAAAATGGGTGAAGGATATAAAACCCTTGGTTGAAAAATATCCATCCACAAATTGAGATTAAATCTGTTTTTGATGACGAAACTCAAACAACCCCAATCGAAATTATTTTTGAAAAGCATTATGACTTATTATGGGTTCAGGACATCTATCGGAAATTGTAAATGTTTATTGCTTAGTATAATAATAACGCAACACAATTAATTAATTAATTTCCGTACTTTACTTTGTTTACCTCATCAATTTACTCCATGACACGAATACGACTGAATTATTATATCGAGAGTCATTTATCAATCCTATTATTTCTAAAGTTTTTGACGACATGAAATACAAAATTAGATTTCCAACGTATGTTCTTCTGTCTGACATTAAATATATTTATAATTTACTATATTATATAATGAATTCTATAACATTTTAGAGGTGAAGTAGAGAGTATGTTACGGAAACAACAAAGAAACCAAACAAAAGGCGAGATTCCGCGGATATTGCTTGGATCTAACCATGACGAAATTCTTAAAATATGTATAAATGCAGTTGAGATAGAAATTGGCTATGTAGAAGTTGTGGGAAATGCAGTAATTGTTGATTTAAAAAAAAACATGAGGATTGAAGGAAAATTGTTTAAGGGTTTATAAATTTCTAGATAATTAGATAATGATATCTTAAGTTCTTTATACAATAATAAATTTTACTAAACAATTGTATTGGCTTAAAAGTCGCAATTGGTATAGTACATGATGCAAGAGATGTAAGACGCAATTCGTCGTGACGCAAGACGTAATTCATGATGCAAGACACAATTCAAGACACAAAATTAGTATATTTAGGCATTTAGGCAATTTTGGTTTAGGCTCATGAAAATTTTCTGGCGAAATTAGCGAAACCTAAACCGCGAAAACCAAACGGACAATTAAACCTTACTGTTTAATTTCGACCACAAAATGTTTATTAAACAAAAAAAAGAATTAATTTGTTTTATTATTAAATTATAAAATGTTATTTGTAATTAATAAATATATATATACATCACACGCACACGCACGCACAAATATATCTATAATATTTTCATAAAATGTCAGTACTTACACCCCCTTCAACTTCAACTGATTCTTCAAGACCTGGTTCTTTTGTGATGCCAGTGGAACCCCCTACTATACTTGATCAATCTCACCTCAGACCTGGTCATAAAGCCTCCTTACTTTCTCATACTCAAACTTTAGAACTATATCGTCAAAATGCTAAAAAAACAAATGATCCTGAACTTCAGTTTGAATTTGCTGCTTTTATGATAGAAGCTTCAAGAGCTATGAACGAAGACCCTAAAAAAAGAGAAGAGTTATGCAAAGAAGGAATGTCCATATTAAAAAAACTTTCGGATAGAGGACACGCAAACTCTCAATATTACTTAGCTGATTGTTATGCAAGCGCGATTGGTACATCAAAAAATAAACCCGACCTTGACAAAGCTTTCCCCTTGTTTGTTCAAGCTTCTAAACATGGTCATCCTGAAGCTGCTTATCGGGCTGGTGTATGCTATGAATATGGTTGGGGTTGTCGTAAAGATAGTGGTAAAGCTCTACAATTTTTAAGGTAAGTCAATTGATGATTTTGATAAATCATTTACATTATAATGTTAATTTAATATTAAATTAATACATAAATATCTATTGATATATTTATATATCTAGGAAATCAGCAACAGCAAGTCATCCTGGTGCTATGTATCGTTTAGGTATTGCTGAGCTAAAGGGTGAACTTGGCTTATCAAAAAATCCTAGAGATGGTGTAAAGTGGCTCAAAAGATCAGTTGAATCAGCAAATGAAGAATTTCCACATGCTTTACACGAATTGTCTGAACTTCATGAGAAAGGTGTTGAAAACATTGTATTTGTAGATTTGGAATATTCTGTTCGATTGTTAATACAGGCTGCAGATTTAGGCTATGCACCATCTGCGTTTAAATTAGGTGAATGTTACGAGTACGGAAAGATGGGCTGTCCGCAAGATGCCGCTCTCTCAATTCACTACTACACGGTTGCTGCTCAACAAGATCACCCTGAGGCTTGTTTTGCATTAACAGCTTGGTATCTTGTTGGAAGTCCTGGAGTGTTACCGCAAAGTGACACAGAAGCATATTTATGGGCTAAACGTGCAGCTGAAAAAGAATTGGCAAAAGCTGAATATGCTATAGGGTATTTCACTGAGGTCGGTATTGGGATTCAAAAGGATCAATTAGAATCTAATGTTTGGTATCGTCGTGCTGCTGAACATGGCGATAAAAGAGCTCAACAAAGATTAAGGGGTGTACCAATTGATGATAGTAAAAAGAAAAAAGATGATTGTGTGATTTCTTAACCATCTTTTTTTTTTGCAATCTCTATGATTATATATATATATATATACACACTTGCATACATACATACACATATATATGATTTAATATATATATATATTTAACTAATTCATATATAATAAATATGTGTGTCCAGGAAAGTGGCAGGAGTTGTAAATATCTTTTGGAATTCTTTTTTCTTATAAATATATATACACACACACATATGCATAACCTTTCTTTTCTTTTTCCTTTTTTTTAAACTTATCCTTAATTTAATTCTTTTATTCTTTTTCATTTTAACTTTGGAATAGTAAAACAAAAAAACATTTTAACATAATTTCATACATTGACCGAAAAAAAATATAATAAATAAATAAAA